CTTATTTTATAATAAATTTATTTTAATAAGCTACATACTTGAATATATTTCACTTCATAAATTATTTTTATCATTTTTTAAAATTAATTGACTATTGACAAATGAAGAAACAAGATGAGAATTCAATAAATGTTTCCTGAAAAAACTAAGATGAGTCGTCAATTTAAAGAGCAATGTCGAAGCGTATAAATATATTTAAAGATATTCCATATAAATAGCAAGTCTCTTGAGAATGCTCTTACAAAAGAATGAATAATGCTATTGAGGAGTCAATATAAAAAGCAATGTTGAAATGTATAAATTCTATTTAAAGATATTCTATATAAAGAGAGAATCTTTTGAAACGCTCTTATAAAAGAATAAGCAATGCTATTTTTAAAGTAAAATGAGTCAATATAGTTTCACTGAGATCAATGATCACCTCAACTCAATGAGTAACATTACTTCAAAGAATACACAGACATGACTGGATTTCATCTTCAAATCTCTTCTTTCATATAATTTATCACACTTATTTTATGTAAAACATAGAAAAATGAAGGGTGAAGGCTCCAATTTATAGGCTCATATAGAGAACAGATTTCCCAGAAATCTTGCAAAATTAGGATGAATAGAAATCTACAAGATTATGTTAACTAAAAGATAGAGCTCAAGACGAGATAAAATAAAGATTATAAATTATCTATATTTCTTGTAATTTTCAAATTACCTCCAAATTGGGTATTGTACATCTAGCCCAATGGATTGATTACCTCTAAATACCCTACATAATTGGGCTACTTCAATTGTGGCGTGGATTCAATTCTTCAATCCAAGGCTTATAGCCTATGAAATTGAAACGGGTCTCGATTTTTCATCATCACCTTGGGGATTTGGACATCACTTACCATGCCCAACACATTTCTTTTTCCTTTAATGTAACACCACGATATAATATTAAGCCCCAATTTGGTGCCAATTGTTTTAAATATCTTTTCCCTATAGGATCATTTTTAGCCACACATTCACAAAATTAAATATTTTGCACGTAAACTCCAAACTTTTCTCTACTTTTTAACCAAACATTCTCCTAAAAATACAATTCAATTTTTCTTCTTCTTCTTCTTATTATTTTTTAAATAATGGGCACCAAACATGGGCTAGCTTTCATTATATTGTAGCTACTCTTGTTAGTTGCTGCAACTAGAACCAAGAAAATAATGTGTCCAACATGTTTCCACACTCCACCGAGCTTTACATTAATAGTTCAAAAGCTCTATTACCATTATAATTATACCATATATAGATATGGTACAATTATAATGGTAATATAGCCGTAATCTTTGACGATCTCCGTAATCTTATTCAATCTCATTGACAGCAAAAACCTTAGTCCCCCATAAACGTTTCTTTAGAAAGCACCAATTGTACAAAGAGTGTTGTTCATATCGGCTACAATGTTTAAACAACTACCTAGGAGTTTGAGATAAGAAGCTCAAACAACGGTTATAAATGTAGTGAGATCAGCAGAATCTTCAAGTCTAATGCTATCAATCTGTTGTCCATTATGGAAGTGCCTCTCTAGGGGCTTCCGCAAGTCAAAATCATTGCAGTACTTAGATTTTTCATCTACAATACATTAAAAATTGTTTACTTACAAGTGCAATCTTTTCTTGTGCAACTTCTTAGTTCTTACCAATAGGAGAACCAATAAAAGAATAAGTGTGCTGTATAAAGAGACAAGGTTTCTTGTGCAACTTCTTAGTTCTTACCAATAGGAGAACCAATAAAAGAATAAGTGTATTGTATAAAGAGACAAGGTTATTACACAAATAGCTACTCTAAAGAAATTACTGAAAAATTTCTTGCATGCTAATAAATTTTTCATTAATTTTCAAGAAACAGATTCCTAAATTTAGCTATAAGTTTTAGTTACGTAATTTCTTGAATATGTAGATCATTGTATCATATATAGCTACCTCCATTGTTGCTAAAAATTAACTATGATATGTACACAAAAAGGTAAGAATTTAAAAATAAGATCCATTTTCTGCTAAGCATAGACACTTCTACTAGCGTAGGATGTCCCATTTTTCAGATGCTTTTTAAAGTTTAGGACGTGTGACGAAAACCTCCAAGACAAACCTCGTAAACACAAGGCTAACATACCTTCATATTCTTTATAGCCTAATACAAGATGTATATGTCTTCAACACATCAAGGCATGGAAAGCTCCATTTTATATATTTTGAAAATTAAAATTAGGGAAATTTTTATTTATTATGCAATTACCTTTCTTCAGTAGTAGTAAAATATAGCTTAACCCAAAGTTATAACAGTATAAAAAATATCCACTTGATGTACAAAATCTATAGAAAAAATCTATATCTATAGCATTGTTCATAACTTTTACCTTATTGTCAATCGTCATGAATGTTATTTGTGAAGACAAAACTCTCGACCCAAACCGAACGGTTCTTCTTAAGGTAAATATCAAAATGGGTATTTAAATTGAGAATCTACGGATTTGGATCGGTTCTTAGTTCTAGATCAAGAACTGAAAATTCGAATAAGAATCGAATCTTTCTAATATTTTAAATTTATTTGTTTTAAATAAATCAAATTATTTTATTTTTTTCTAAATAAATTTACTAATTAATTAATTTAGTTCAAAGCCAAAAATATAATTTTTCCTATTTTTAATTTTTAGTTCGAGTTCAAATTAATCAAATTGATTTAAGTTTTACCCGAATCTGTTATTTTACCGTAGTGTTGTATCTATCGTTTTGAAAAAATCGAATTGAAGCTTGATTGTGCCTCTTATAATTATTGTCAGTTTGCTATCTTTCTCTTCCTATGATTTTAACAATCAAACATAAAGAGAGACGTAGAAAAATACATAAGATTGGAAAGATTAAACATCATTATTTGAATTAATATAGCTTTAAAACATTAAAAAATAAATTTTGATTGATAAAAATCAATAAAATATGTTATTGAAATGTCGTGAATTTAATAAAGTGTGTGATTAAAATAAATTGTTGATTTTGATTTAGGATAAAATTTAGACTTTAATCCTTCAAACAGGGGCTTCATATAGATGTTGGATATGTTTGGCGTGTACCATTGGAAAGTATATCATATACGGAACAATCCCGGTCCCTCTTCACCCTCATTTGCTGGCGTTCCCGTGGAATGACAAGGATATTTATGGTATGAAAAGCACGTTGAAATTGTACTGATCTCATCAACATAAATATCTCAATCACAAACCTTCAAAGTATAATCGAGAATCTTGTGCACTGCACCTCTAAATCTGTAGTCCATGGCTGAGCAGGGTAAATTGCATATTCTCATGTTCCCATGGCTGGCCTTCGGTCACTTGATTCCATACCTAGAGCTCGCCAAGCTCATAGCCCAGAAAGGCCACAGTGTCTCCTTTGTTTCGACTCCCAGAAACATAGATCGCCTTCCCAAACTGCCTCCGAATATAACCCATCTGATAGAATTTGTCAAGATTCAATTGCCAAAAGTTGATAATCTACCTGAAGATGCAGAAGCCACCATTGATGTACCATTCGATATGGTCCGCTACCTTAAAATTGCCTTCGACGAGCTTCAGCCAAGAATCACTTTTTTGTTGGAAGACTCCTCACCTGACTGGATTATTGCCGATTTTGCTCAATACTGGTTATACCCAGAAGCTGCTAAACTCAACATTCCTTGTGCTTTTTTCAGCATATTTACTGCAACTCTTTTGAGCTTTGCTGGCCCAACATCACTTACATTGCAAAATCAAGATGATCGGGTGAAGCCCGAAGATTTCACTGTGAAACCCAAGTGGGTACCCTTTGAAACATCTGTTTCTATGCGCTTTTTTCAAATTAATCGCCAGTTTAAGGAGGCAATGATAGACGGAGGTAATGTTTCGGACATGTACCGATTGGTAGCCACCATTGACGGCTGTGATGTGGTGGTGATGAGAAGTTGTTATGAGTTTGAGCCTGAGTGGCTAAATCTTCTAGAGAATATTTACGAAAAACCAATTATTCCAGTCGGCCATTTGCCCCCAACAACTACTAATAGTGGTTCTGATGAGCAAAATGAAAACTGGATTGAAATTAAGGAATGGCTTGACGCGAAAGAAAAAGGATCGGTTGTTTATGTAGCTTTTGGAAGTGAAACGAAACCAAATCAAGATGAACTTACTGAAATTGCATTAGGCTTGGAGAAGTCGGAATTGCCATTTTTCTGGGTTCTGAGGAAGCAACGAGGGGCAGCAGATAATGAGGCGACTCATTTACCAGAAGGGTTCGAGGAGAGAACCAAAGGACGTGGGGTGGTTTTTACAAGTTGGGTCCCTCAACTCAAGGTACTGAGCCACGAGTCGGTGGGTGGAATCTTGTGTCACTCCGGGCTGAGCTCAGTCGTGGAGGCTTTGCAATTCGGGAAATGGATAATCTTGTTGCCTTTCTTGGCGGACCAAGGATTGATTTCCAGCCTATTGGAGGAAAAGAAGTTGGGACATGAGATAGCGAGAAATGAGCTGGACGGATCATTTACTAAAGACGCAGTTGCTTACTCTCTGAGATTGGTGATGGTGGAAGGAGGAGGTAAAGTTTACAGGGAAAAGGTTAAAGAGATGAGAGAATTGTTGTCGAATAAAGATATACAAGATGGTTATATGGAGCGATTCTTAGATCATCTACAAAATCACAAGAAGGCTTAAAGTATTCTAATAGAAATAAATACACTTTCCAAGTGAATTATGAATTGTGTATCGTTTATGCATTGCTTGATGTATCTGTTGAGAGAGAAATGATAGACAATTAAAGAGATAAGAGATGAATAGAAGAAGATTTACTTGTATAAGATATACCTCTCTATCTTTTCAAGTGATTCCAATATGGGGATTGTTGTTTTAGCCTGGGAGAATTTAGATTTGGGTAATTGCATGCATCTTTTTATCATATCCAAGTGTTAAAACAGATTGGATAAGGTTTTTAGACTTAAAATTAAACAAAAGCTAAAGATTTCTTTCAAAATCAAGAGAACAATAGAGTAGAAAGAATAGATTTCATTCAAAAGCTTTAATCCACTTGGCTATCTCGACTTTCAAAAGTATGCTTGTTTGCTATGTGCATTTTCATCCATACCAGAATAGATTATTTACAGGAAGGGACAAATTCATGACAGAAATTTGAATATATGAACTAGGGTACCTATTGAGCCCAATCCGGAAGATTCTATAGAGATCAACTGATAGACCTCTACTGCATATTACTTTGGAGGAGAAATTAACTTATTTTCTTCCAAATCGTGCTTCATGGAAGCATCTCCACCCATCAATTCCTTTTCTACTTGTCTTGTTACCTACGCACCTACCGACCTATCAAATTGTTTCTTGATTGACCAATGGTGATGAAGTGAGACAAAATATCTTGCGTTCCAAAAAAAAGTAAAATAAAAAGGAAAAGGAACAATCTGAGATGGTCATAGAATTTGTCTGATTGGTGCTGCTTTTGATATATTTACCATGATGGAATCAAATACTTGTCTTCCAGATGTGAGAACCTACAATGAGTTAATATCTGGATATTGTGAGGTAAAACAAGTTTACAAGGCAATGACACTTCTTAGTAAGATGCTAGAGCAGAAGATGTCTCCAAATCTTGTAACTTTCCTTATTAGTATGTGGACAATGTAAAGAGGGTGATATAGATAGCGCTTTTAGGCTGCTTAGGTTGATGGAAGAGCAAAATGTAGTTCCTGACCAGTTAACTTATGGTGCTCTCATTGATGCATTATGTGAAAGAGGGACGGTTGAGAAGGCTTATCATGTATACGACTCTCTCAAGGAGAATGGTTTAAATTCAAATGTAGTTATATACACTACTCTGATTGATGGATTCTGCAAGGCTGGGAAGATTGATTTTTCCCTAACTTTGTTTGGAAGAATGACAGGTGAGGGCTTCCATCCGAACTCATACACTTACAATGTGCCGATTAGTGGGCTGTGCAAAGAGAAAAAACTGCCTGAAGCAGCAGAATTTCTGGAAAGAATGCTGGAAGAAGGTGTGAAACCTACAGTTGTTACTTACACTATTCTCATTGAGCAAATGTTAAAAGAATATGACTTTGATCATGCTTATAAGGTGTTTCATCAGATGGTTTCCCTGGGAAATAAACCTGATGTTTGCACAAACACTTCATTTCTTGTTGCATATTGCAACCAAGGGAAGTTGAAAGAAGCAGAGGATTTGATGGCTAAAATGAAAGAAGAAGGGGTGCAACCAGATTTCAAGGCTTACACAGTATTAATTGATGGAAATGGACGTTCAGGTTTACTAGATCGTGCTTTTGATATGCCCAAATGTATGGTTGATGCTAGATGTGAACCAACTCATTATATCTACTCTGTTTTAATCAAACACCTCTTACATGAGAAACGAACGAACGGAAGTGGTTGTAGAACGGAACTTGATCCAAAAACAGAAGAAAACTCAATTAATATAGCAGATGTCTGGAAAATAATGGAATATGATACAGCTCTTATGCTCTTCAAGAAAATGGTTGGAAATGGCTGCTCACCAAATGTTAACACTTACAATGCACTCACCACTGGACTTTGTCGAGAAGGACGCTTTGAAGAAGCCTGGAAGTTGGTTGATCATATGAAACAATGTTGAATGTCGCCCAGTGAAGATATGTATAATGCACTGGTGAATTGTTGCTCTAAGTTGAAAATGTATGAGGAAGCAATGAAGATACTTGATACCATGCTCAAGCTTGGACTTCTACCACATATAGAATCCTATAAGCTGCTTGTTTGTGGATTGTATGATGAAGGGAATGATGAGATGGCTAAGTCTGCATTCTGTATGCTTATCCAATGTGGTTACAATTATGATGAAGTTGCTTGGAAGCTTCTGATTGTCCTGTTGTTGAAAAGGGTCTTGTTGATAGATGCTCTGAGCTGTTAAATGTCATGGAGAAACTTGGTTGCCAGCTTAATCTACAGACTTATACTATGTTAATTCAGGGTTTTCTTGATAAAAACGAGGGCATATAGGATATAAGATCCTTCACATGATTGGTCTGCGCGTTGCCAAAAGTTATTTTCATAAGCATTTTTCTTATTTTACGAGGCAAACGATGGGCGAATTTATGATGAGAAACATGGAATTCTTTTTTGGACTTTACCTTGATCCAGTAATTACCTCATGTCATCCTAAATTTCACAATTGTGACAAAAGGCCAAATCACTTCTCATGGAAGTTTTCTAGGACATCTAGTGTATCAAAAGAGATTTTACAGGACAAAGTTCTGCATTTGCCCTGGTGGCTCCCAGGTCAACAGTGCTCGCATAGCAGATTCTCTACATTACAGGTGCATCCCTGATGAGAATTTAATTTTTTTTAGATGTTTGTTATTAGTCATCAATGGTTTTGTTAAGAAAAAACAGAATTGAATTTGTAACCTAAATGAGCCTCCGTAAATGTCTGTACTTAAATGCCTTGGACTTTTTAGATGGGGTGGTTCAATATGCACACATCTCACACACAATTACTGTGTTAGTATTGTGAGGATCAGTGATTGTTGTAATCTGGATTTGAAAGCAGAGAATATAGAAATATTTAAACAGATTCTTGTGACATATTTGGATGAATACAAGCATTTCTGATTCCATATATGAAAATAAAAATAAAAAGTGGCAACTGTCTTTGCTTTTTTGTACCACCAGTTGGACTTACTATGGATTGATTCTTTGGCTTCCATGGATATACTATCTAATAAACTAAATCATAGAAATTGAATGCTAACTGTTGCGGTAGTCTGTGAATCATCTTAAAGTTATTAAAAGATTATATATCTTCGAAAGTAGTAGTTGATGCATATGTTGAACTGGGCTGTTTATTGCAGGAACGACATAGTGGGTGAAGTAACTGAGGTTGGCAGCAAGGTGAAGAATGTCAAGTTTGGGGACAAAGTAGGAGTTGGATGTATGGTTGGATCATGTCGCCAGTGTGATAAATGCAGCAATGATCTTGAAAATTACTGTTCTAAAATGATACCTACCTATAGCGCTGTTTACACTGATGGTACCATTACATGTGGAGGTTAATGGTTGCTGATGAGCACTTCATTGTTCGTTGGCCTGAGAACTTTCCCCTTGACGTTGGTGCTCCTCTTTTATGTGCTGGGATTACAACTTACAGCCCCTAGAGGTACTTTGGACTGGACAAGCCGGGAATGAATATTGGTGTTGGTGGTTTTGGTGGGCTTGGCCATGTAGCTGTGAAGTTCGCTATGGCTTTTGGTACTAAAATTACAGTTATCAGTACATCTATTAATAAGAAGAAGGGAGCTATTGAAAAACTTGGTGCCGACTTGTTTTTGGTTAGTCGTGATCCTGAGGAGATGAAGGTGAGGAATTGGGATTTTGCTTGGTTTAATTTAGTTGTTCTGCTGAGACTTGAGAAACCACATTAATCTCTATATTTGTCCATGTTCAGGCTACAGCTAGGACATTGGATGGGATCGTTGATACTGTATCTTCTGATCACCCCATTTTACCCCTGCTTAGTTTGTTGAAGCCTCATGGAAAGATGGTACTGGTTGTTGTTCCGAACAAGCCAATTGAGTTGCCAGCGTTTCCACTGATTACAGGTAAGCATTTCATTAATATTTCTCATTCTCTTGCTCCTCCGCTCTCTCATATCATGTTTGCATAAGCTTGAAAAGTATAGTCATAAGAAATTAAAATAAATATTTTTTTATTATTTAAAGAAGGGAAAGGAAGGGGGTTTCACTTTTGCTAAAAAATAATGGCTAAACATAAATGTTTAAAAGATTGGCTCTGGCATTGATCTCGGAAAAAGGTCAAGGTTCAAAGAGTTGAATCAGTGCTAAAATAAAAGCAAAATCTCGGGGTGAACCCCACCTGTATGGTGCTTCTATTCAAGGTTTCTAATTCTAAATGCTTTTACCCCATAACCAAACTGATTTGGGCGATGCCCAGTTTCTCTGGTCAGGCCAGGTCTGGTCTTGACAATATCGCTAACCTTCCACAATGACTCCAGGTAGAAAATTAATAGCCGGCAGTGGGATAGGAGGAATGAAAGAAACCCTAGAGATGATTGATTTTGCAGCAAAGCACAACATATTACCAGATGTGGAGATCATCCCTATTGATTACATCAACACTGCAATGGATCGCCTTGTGAAATCTGATGTTAAATACCGGTTTGTGATCGACATTGCCACATCATTGAAGGACAAGTAATACCACCAGCTTCACAGTTTCATGAAACTTGGCTTAATTAGTATAATGCATGGTGCTGTCAAGATGAGAAGATTGTTGGGAAATTTGTTTTTTGGGTCCTGTATTATTTCTCATTTCCCATTACCAATGGACTCTATGTTTTAGCAAAGTCGGATATTAACCAGTAGTTTGATTTTTTAGCTATCGGTGTATATATAATATACATGTTGCATATATAATATACATGTTCATGGTTTGGGAAGTCAAAATGACATTGTTAAGCCGATAAATTTTAGGCTACCGTAACACTCGAGCCTAGCTGTTTTTATTTGGATTTTTCTTTCCTTAGTAATTTTCTAATCACCATGGATCTTAGAATTGAAGAAAAATGCTCGACTCTTCTCAAGTTACCAAATGTAAGAGCTATATTGTCTCACAACCCGATCTATGGCACTCCAATGCTTAGCGTCTGTTTGAGACCCATTAAAAAAAGGAAAAGAAAAGAAAAGAAAAAAGAACGTACTTTCAATTCAATTTAGGGTATGTTTGATAGAGCCATTTTCCATGAAAAAAATTTCCATTTTCCACCCAATTTTGTTGTTTGATTCCCAAAATTTTCCAGGGAATACATTTTTCACTACTCCCTCACGTGGCCTCATTTTCTTGCTTTTAAAGGAATTCCAATTCCTTGGATTTTGTTGAGAAAATGGGTTTTCTAG